AACACTTCATCGGAACAACTTCAGCTGGAGTAGAAAGGGGAGGGTCTTACCTCCACGGGAGGCGTGGCGTGAGCCAGCTCCAGAGCAAAGTTCTCTGGCACATGATTGGAGGAGATGGTGACCAGACTGTTGAGCGACTGCCTGCTATGGTGGCTCTGTCTGCTCCCCAAAGTGCCTCTCTCAGGTGTGGGGGAAGGCAGGGGGGAGTGTGGGTGAGATCGGACCGGTAGGGTGCCATTGATGGTGGGGACCAGGGTGATGTCTGCCTTGTGAATCTGCCTGGCAGGCTTCTTGGGGTGGTTTTGGTAGCTGCTCTCTGCCACACGGCAGTTATAGTTGTGCCTGGGGTCTTTCTTTTCGCGGCTGCAGCGAGCAGTAGCGAACATCACCATGACGATGAGTAGAAGAGCGCAAACAGCACCGAGAGAAATTATGACAATGAGGGAGAGATCCATGGAGGCCTGGCCGGATCCGGTGGGGTAGAGGGAGGGGAGGATGTCCATGTTCTCCTGTAGGGAGAGCCTGAGTAGGGCTCCTGTTGTTAATCTGCTGGTGCCCCTGTCCTGCACCTCCACTCTAATCTCCATCATGTCCCGTGGAGCCTGCTCCAGGCTAGCGTTGGTTCTGAGCTCACAACGGCGAGCATCCATCACAAAGAGTCCATCCTCATTGCCGCCAACGATGGCACAGCTCATCTCTCCATTGGCACCGGAGTCTCGGTCTGTGACTTTAAACGCCGTGACCAGCTGACCCGGCGATGCGTACTTCCACACAGAAAGTTCAGCTGTGTGATTCCGAAGAGAAGGGGAGTGAATGATGGGCGGGTTGTCGTTTTCATCCAGAACCGTGAGCAGAACAGTGGTGTTGGCTGACAGTGGCGGGTTCCCCCCATCTCGGGCCTGGACAGTAAAGGCTATCCGGCTGACGTCTTCATAGTCAAAGCTGCGTAAAGCATAGATGGCACCATTGGAAGGGTCAATGGTGACGTAGGTAGAAATGGGGCTCCCTTGGACCTGAGTGTCAACAACGGTGTAGGTGACCTGACCGTTTGTCCCCAAATCCGGATCTGTGGCCACCACGGTCATAAGGTAGGCTCCAGGAGAGTTGTTTTCAGACTTAAAGACCTCATATCGGGTTTTCTCAAAATGTGGAGGATTATCATTTTCATCCAACACCTGAACAGTGAAGTGTTTGATGGTAGAGAGGCTGGGGGAACCGCGGTCCTCGGCTATGACCGTCAGGCTGTACTCGGACCTCTTTTCTCGGTCCAGAGAGACATTGGTGAGGATCATGTAGTTCTTCTCGTGGGTCTTCTGGAGCCTGAAGTGGCCGTGGCCGTGCAGTCTACACACCACCTCTCCATTGAGGCCTGCGTCATTGTCATCAGCACGTACCAGAGCTATGAATGTGTCCACAGGGGCCCCTTCTGAGATGTAAGCCACTTCCTCCTTGCCTTGAGTCATCAGATTGATGTTTATCTCCGGCTTGTTGTCGTTCACGTCCACCACTTTCACCACAATCTTGCAAAGTCCAGGTATAGAGTTGGGGCCGAGGTCCTGAGCCTGAACATCCAGCTCGTAAGAGGCCGTGGCTTCATAATCCACTCTCTTGATGAGTGTAATGTGTCCGTTTTCTGGGTTTATCTTAAATGTTTCTAAGATCTTAGGTGGGACGTGGCTGCTGAAAGAGTAGACTATTTTACCATTAGTGCCCTCATCTGGGTCTGTGGCATTTAAATCAATGATGAGCGTCCCAAGGGGCGAGTTTTCCTGCAAATGGATAACATATGCCTGCTCTTCAAAGGCTGGGCTGTTGTCGTTGGAGTCTGAGATGCTGATCTTGAGCAGAGTGGACCCGGACTTGGGGGGAACTCCGTTATCTGAAGCGGTGAGCTGCAGCTGGTAGCTGGACTGCACCTCCCGGTCCAGTTCCCTCATCACCACCAGCTCCGCGTACTTGGCCCCATCCGTTCTGGTCCTCACGTCGATCTTAAAGAAGTTATTGGGGGTGAGGGAGTAGGTGTGTAGGGAGTTCTCCCCCACGTCCGCGTCCACGGCCCCGTCCAGCGGGACGCGCGTCCCCACAGACGCGCTCTCGGAAATCTCGATGGGGACGATGGCGCGGGAGAAGTGCGGAGAGTTATCGTTGATGTCCAGGACCTCCACCTCCACATGGAACAGCTGCAGGTACTCCGTCGGCAGCGTCACCACATCGAACTCAATGGAGCAGTTGGAGTTTTTCTCACAAAGCTTCTCGCGGTCGATCTTGGCGCCGATGCTGATCTCCCCGTCCTCCTCCCGGACCGTCAGCAGCGGCGCGCTGCCCCGCTGCATGGCGCGGAACCGAAAGCTCAGAGAAGTCGGCAGCTTGGATAAAATCCCCTCAACATCCTCCTTTAATCGGCCGATGATCGTGCCCACTCTCTGCTCCTCGTAAACTTTGTATTTGAGCGTCTTGGCGGCGGTGCTGTGCAGGAGCGCGGCCAAGAGCAGAACCCCGAGCGGCGCCGTGGAGAGGAGAATTCCTTTGGTCTGGATCCGTCTGGAGCCCATCTTCTGCAGCTGCAACCCTGGTCCTCACAGGTCCGGCATGATCGATCATCAGCTGCTGAAGCACAAAAGCAGACAAACTCTCCTCTTCTGGGGAGAACAGCGCGCGCGAGCCGCTCTCCTGCAGACTGAGCTGATGCCTGCGTTCACATGCGCGTCGCTCCTGCGTGTGCGCACTGCTCAATGAGTGAGAGCGCTGTGCAAAGAAAGAAGCAGCTTTCTCCTAGTCCGCGTGTGTGATGGGGGAGTCCAGCCTGTGTGTGCGCGCGCGCTCGTGCGCCCTGCTTCACGCGCCCTGCTATCATTTTTCTTTCTATCCACCCGCCCCTCACCCTGCCCCTTCTCTTTTCTCCAAATAAACCCCCGCACCCCCAAATCACCGGAATGGCCTCCTCTCCCAAACCCCCACCCCGCTGCTGCTGACCCCCCCGAAGTAAAAGTGTGCCTCAACAATAAACCAAAGGAGAACTTTTTATGGACGCTGCCACTTTCAGCACCGCCACCACTGACCCCGGCAGACTTACATTGTTAGACTGGGGTCTTGAGTCTTCTGCCCCAGAAAGACAACAGGAGAAGCTGAAGGTGCCAGTCACCCATCAGACCCGCTGCTTCCCCCCCCCCCCCCCCCACCCCCCCCCCCACACACACACACACACACACACACACACACAATAAAGCTGTTTTTCTAATCTGGACCAGTCCTCGCCACTAGTGTGGCATCCAGAAGGTCTCTGCTGCTGATCTGTTGTTAGTCTGGAACCACTTCCAGTTCCACCAGAGATCAGGTGAAGGTTTAGCCCGGACGTCAGAAACACACACACACACACACACACACACACACACACACACACACACACACACACACACACACACACACACACACACACACACACACACAGCTGTATGACAATGTTTAATGAACGCCTCCAGACCCTGATCAGCCTACAGAGAGCAAACAAGTGGGCCAGTGGAGTTCATGGGAGCAGCAGCCATCTGGCTCCCAGAGCTCCAATTATCATCTACTCAGACAGACCCCCACCCCGCAGGTTCTGATAAATAAAGTCTAACCCCTCCCCTTTGCTGCTGCCATCAAATAAAATAAAAACGTGATAATCAGTGAGAGCAGCTTGGTTCAGGTGAGCGTCTCATGCTGCTTCATGGATAGAGACGCTTCCCTAAAACCCCTGGAGGTGTAGAGGGTGCAGCACAGACGCGTGGCTCTAGACGAGCGCACGGTTTGGTTTCAGTGCAGCAGATGATCCGCTCCTCTGTGATGGATTTTATCTGCATTTTAAATTCCTGCGTGTGAGCCGTGGGAACGAGCCCTCTCTGCACCGCCATCTGTCTCTGAGCAAACACACACACACCACACACACACACACACACACACGGATGAGAGTTAACAACATGTTTGTGTTTGTGAACATCATCATCGTGTAAAGACTTGTGTTCTCCACGCTGCGTCGGAGACTAACACCTCTGTTCACTTCTGTCTGAAAAGTCTGTCAGATGTAGATCAGCGATCTTCTAGAAGACCTGTCCTTAATGATTCTCTTCTTCCTTTAACCCTCTTCGGTCCGGAACCTGACTGCCAACACACATCAGAAATAACAACAGTTCATAACGGAAAACACTTCTGCAGCACGAGTGAAGCAACAGAACCAGAAATGTCGATCGTTTCCTCTCATGGACTTCATAGATAAGCTCAGAGATTATTCATTCTTCTGCTGATCATCTGTGTGAAGAATCCAGAAGGAACTGGCCAGGTCTCACAAAAGCTCATATGGTCAGTGGATGGGTGCTGGGTTGGATGCAGGGACTCGGCCCTCAGGGACCATAACATTAGAGCGTGGAGCGAGGAGGTGCAGGGTGAGGGGTGCAGAAACTTTGTTATTGAAATGAAGCAAGAGACCCCGCTAACAAAGGGCCGTGTAGCAGGTGGAGGCAGGGCGGCCGGGCTGGAGGAGGGGAGCCCCGGGTTCTCACATGACACACAGACAGATAGATACCTCTCAGACTCTGGCGGTGCTCAGCACCTCCGTCCCATCAGGTGGAGGGGAAATGCCGGCGTGATTCTGTGGTGGGAGAGTTGTGAAGGCATGCGAGCGTCCGCCACCATCTCATCAGCATGCTGTTAGCTCGTGTGAGACAGAAGGGGTTGGGTTGTGAGACATGATGGTCTAGAAACAACTTAACACTTCATCTGAATCCACAACTGGAACGAGCAGAAAACAGCCCTTTAGCACTGCTTACCTGGAATGGCACCAAGAAGCATTGTGGGAGATGACCTCGTGGTGCTGAAGGTTGTTTCCTTACTTGGAAGGTTCTAGTTTACTTACATGTATTTAATGATGTGAATGGTGCACGGACGTAATATATATATTTTTTGGGGGGGGGGGGCATGTCCCCCCCCACTTTGTCCAAAGTCAAGTTTTGACCCCTGCACTTTTTACCATCCGAAAACAATATTACTTTATATTAAATTGACACTGGTTGAGCTCTAGGACCAACCGGAAAACAACTGTTTCCCATTAGAGCATACTGTAAAGATTCCCCCCCCCCACCCCCCCCCCCGTGCCCCCCCCCCCCCCCCCCCCACACACTTCTAAAGTGAAAATTACGTCCATGGAATGGTGGACTGTTGTTCCTGTGGTGCTGGTGAACTAACTCCCTTCAGCCGGACGCTTCCTGCTCAGCCACGAGATTCTCTTTGTGCTTCAGTCTGGTGAAAAATGCGTCTCTCTTAATGAAGCTTTGCTTCATCAAATCTTCATGCCTCCTCCGTCTGCCACCTTCACTGCAGTTCAGGATTAGATCAGATGTTGAAAACTTGCGAGTTTTCATTTTAGTTGCATCCTCAGCACACAGCATGAAGTTCCACGGCAGAAAGTGATCCCTTTATAACAAGATCAACCACAGAGGAAGTGCTTTCTTTTGATGCCGTCGCAGTGAAGCGATGTCACAAAATTACACAAGACACCTACAGAATGTAGGACGACAGATGCGCTACGACGCCAGTTGCAAATTGGATTCTTCCTCCCTCTTGTGTCTCCATCATTCATTGTTAAACATTGATCTTTCATTCTCTTTCATTAAACAGACTTCAGACTCTGGCGTCAGCGCCTGTTAGGGCCAGAATAACGCTACGCTACCCAGAATTAACTGGGGGTTGGAAAAATAATAATATAAAAGGGGGAAGAAGACAACTAGTGGCTTAAAGTTTAAAAGTTTTATTTCCATTAAAAAAAGGCGGAAGTTCATTCAGAAATAAACCACATATAGGAGGGGCTGGAAATAATAACAGAAATAAGCTAGCACAGCCCAAAAAGCATAAACAGTTAGGTAAATAGGGCAGACAAAGACTATTTAACTTACAGGGGGAACCCAAAGCAACCAAACAAAAGGTCTGGCGGACTGGTCTATTACGCAAAAATACTATTCTGAAACACAACACAAACTCTGGGGTTACCAGGGGAAAAGTAAGGCTCAACAAATAAACCCAAACTCTAAGTTCTCCATCAAAAGTTCACAAAAAGCCACAGTTAAGGGCGTTAACGCTCACAGGGAGTCTGCCGCCATCCTGCAGCTCCGTGAGTAGTGGGGCAGCTGATTATCAGAGCTGATGAAGTCCAGGTGTGCTGGCGCGGAGCGATCTGACAACGGCAGGTCTTGAGCTGGGCTGGGACGACTTGTTGTTGTCCCGGCAACAGGGCAAGCAGACATGGAGGCAGCCTTCTTGTCACCGGCAGGTCACATCTCAACAGCTGTGCCATGTGGAAAAAGCAAAAAAAAAAAAAAAAAGAAACCCAAGGGGGTAAAACCACACACACACACACACACACACACACACACACACACACACACACACACACACACACACACACACACACACACACCTGACCAAAATTATGATCCAGTGTGCCCTAAACATCACCAGTCATAACAGCCTTAGAAATAAAAGCCCGCTCTTTAGCTGTGGAGCATTAAATCATGTTGTGTTGATTTCCAGAGATGCGCAGAAACCACCGAAAATCTGAGAGTTTGGTGCGCGCACTAGTCAACATCATATATGTCTTGTACCACATAATTTTTAATCTGAAGCTACATATTAAGCATATTCAGGGCAGAGTATTGTTCCTGTTAGTGTTTAGTGTGAGATGATAGTAAATATTCCCTTTCTTTCTCCATCAACTTTACCTGATAAGCTAACTTTAGGCAAACCAGCAGCACAACAAATATTTTCAAATAAGACTCACAAACCTGAGTCAGCACCAGTCTCATCAAAGCTGGGGTTCTGTCGCGGTACTTTTGGTCTGAAAAACGTCCTTATGTCCATCTTCACTCATGCGTTTCAGGCAGAGACTGTAGAAGAAGCCGGCTGCCGAAGGGATTCTTCTTCAGTGGTGGAGGCTCAGGCAGGCTATATACAAACTACTGCCAGCTGCGCCCTCTCTGTTGGACTTTGGTACTGCATGTTACTTCCGCGATTTAGATCCGGGGCTTTTCATTAAACATTCGGGGCTTGAGCCCAAGTAGCCGGGCCTAACGCCGCCCCTGGATGGGTCTGATCTGCTCCAGGGATGCTGAGATTTTAGAAATGTTTCTTCTTGTAGTTATCAATCGTTAGTTTAGCCTCTGAATATTGTTCTATTGAATGGAAGCGCCCTAACCCTAGCCCTAACCCTAAACCTAACCAGGAGTTACAGTCGTAAAGTTTTAAGTACCTCGGTCTAAACAGACTAACCGAATTCCCCATCTAATCTGTAAGTAAGGACATCTAAATGAGCCTTTAGGGCAGCACTAATACTCGACTTCAGAGGCAGCGTTTCCCTGGATAAAGACTAATCTCTGATTATCCCATAAAGCAGGCCCAGCTCTGATGACATTGGTAATACCACTTGTTTGATCGGCTTCTCTCTCGGGTTTAATGTTCCTTAAGCTGTAAGTTTTACATCAATACCTAGTCTTCACCCATGCGTTGTTTTTGTGTGCAGAACCATCTAGCTGCTCCCAAACAAGAAACATCAGAATCAGAAGGTTTTATTGCCATGTGTGCGAGAATCACAACGTTAGGAAACTGCTGCGGGACTTGGTGCAAGAATAAATAAATGATAAGCAAAGTTAGAATTAAGACATGGAGGCAATAATTAGAGAAGCAGCTACTTGATAGATGAAGTCATCATAGGTTCTGTCAGAGCGGGTCTGTTCAGATGAAAACACAACACCGGGTCATGTGACTGGAACAAAGCAGCTGGA